AGAATACTGCCGCGCGGAATCAGGCAGAATCCATTCAATTATAAAGCTGATTAATTGTGTCAATTAAAGCGTGATGGATGTCTGTTCATTTATTGAGCAGGGCAGAGGGAATGCCAGCCTGGTCTATAGGCAACTTCAATACATCTGTTAGACCTGATAAAAAGTTGAGCAAGGAGGCTCTGACAAGTGCAAAGAGGTTCCCTGGTGAAATAAAGCAGGGAGATGGGGTGAGGGAGATCGGTTCAGGTGGATAAATGGGGAGAGAAGCTTAAGGGACGAATCACATCCAGCATTTTGTAGGAGCCGTGGCCAGTGGTTGGAACATTAAGATGTGGAATTCAATATAATATATACTATTTCAGCTTATTTATTTAAATATATCGGTTTTATAGCACTTCTTTATGTCGTGAAGAGTAATATAATATAATTAAGTAAGTATAAGTATAAAGTAATATAAGGTGTTCTATCTCACACAGTTTTTTCAGTAAGTGTAGTTAACTAAATACACACACACAAAAAAACATATAATTTAACTATTTGTAGCTGTGGTTGTATTAATTGGTAAATCTCCCATCTACGATGTATGCAAAATAAAACTAAAAAAGAAGACTGATCTCGTGAGTGCGGATCATGATCTTTTATACTAATTATTTGATAAAACACATTCATTTATACTTGTATTAATTGTATTAATTTATCATTTTTATTTGATTTATATTTTTAGCATGGGTTTCACTAAGCACTACAGCTTAATGTGTTGGAGCATGCATCTGCATTTATAATATAATTTTATACACAACTATGTATTTTATATTTTTATTTCATGTTTTCTTCATTTGTTTGTTTGTTTATTTATATATTAGTAATTTGGTTATATAAATTGACAAAATGTATTTAATGAATACAATTTTAAATCTTATATATAATAAATAGTAATATTAGTATTAATATTCATTTTTATTATTATTTGCTTTGGTTATATTAGTGACAACTTGTTAATTTGTCATATAAATTCACAAAATATATAATATTTATAAAATATATCAATATAAAACATACAATTTGAAGTTGTATTTAAGTGTTTTCATAGATTTTAGATTTTACCATGTTATTTGTTTATTTATTTATTTACTTTTTCCCACTTTCTCCCAGAAACTGCATTTCATGATTCAGTGAGTAATTGAGTAAGTTTGCTTCCGCTCTGGAGGGTTTTACAGGTTTACAGACTCTTCAGGCTGTTAATCTTCTTTTTTTTCATGCTTTTTTCAGCACCTGGAGTGCACACGTTACAGCCCCCATCGCGTCTCGGTGCATCGACTGTCAGTTTATGATATCATAATTCCTCTTAAACCATGACAAAGTCACTTCCCGCAGACATACTTAATGCATCGTCGATACAGAGACGCAAGAGCAATTCCTGTTTGCATGTGCTCAGTCATTCACCATTGACCAGCTGTCACGAAACAAGCCCTGATGTAATGCCACTTCCTGGAGCTCGGCCACCCTCCTGCTTGCACCGTGTCATGTCGTATTGACAGAGTCATCAATCAGACGCGTTCAACAAAACATGTCAAGACATGTTGCCGATGACCCCTGTGCGGCATTAGTGATACTTTGTAGTCACGTCAGAACAATGGAGCTATATTTGGATGAAATTAACTGGACCAGGCACCTGTAGTCCTGAGAAGTGTAGATTGCATTAAGTAACAACTCCGCTGATGGCAATGAGGGTGTTTATTGCTCTCTGGTGATTAAGAGTGTGATGAACAATTAGAAGACAGCTTAATTAGAGTGACGCAGACTGGCATAATGGTAATTGACAGCCCTGTTTTAATTGTCTGTGTGATTTTGGGCTTTGGGCTAATTCTAACTGAATAATTTCCTTTGATAATCTCACTCTCGTTTAGTCCAAACAAACCAAGCAGAGAGTGTGAGGATGTACATAAGTGTGATCGTGATTCTAACTTCCTGTGCAGTTTTGTTCACACTAGTGAAAAGTAAATAAAAGGCTAATTAAGGGCTAGAAAAGGGGGTTTCAAAGGGAAATTGTAAATTAAACCCAATATACACAAGAATGATTTTACAAACTAACAAAAATTTCGTAAAATAGAACTTCTGTCCCTTGTAGATTTAGCTTTCTGTAAATCTAAACAAAAACACTTGTTCATTAAAATTATATAATAATTTATTGTATTGTTATTGTATTAATTTATTGTATTGTTAATTAAAATTATTCTAAACAGGTAAACAAATCACTAGTAACCAAACAAGGAATGTTTTCATTCATAGATAGATAGATAGATAGAATTCTCGCCATTAACGAACCATTAACTATGAATTTTGCCTCAGTATACTCCTAATTTGCTGCTTATTAATAGTTAGTAAGGTAGTTGTTAAGTTTAGGTATTGGGTAGGATTAGGGACGTAGAATATGGTCATGCAGAATATGTGCTTTATACAGTAAGTACTAATAAACAGCCAATATGTTAATGATAGGCATGCTAATAAGCAACTAGTTAATAGTGAGAATTAGTTCCTATACTAAAGTGTTACCATAATATTTGTATACGGTTTAAGAGGCATTATTTACTCTAAAGCACTGGTTTTATCAGATGTAATTTCTCAGCAATTTCTCCCTGAAGTTTTTATACTATTAAAGTCATGCACATTTATTCTTGATTTGCCCTTCCGTTGACCCCACTTGGAGGTTGTACTATGATGCAGGGCGTAATGCTCAGTGTTATGGCCCATATGCACAGCTGTGACTCTACCCCAGAATTCAGGAGCTTCGGCTGAGCGATTCCTAGTAGCCTTTAGCTGCCATTCCACGGAGTATCTAAATAGGCCTGAATACACCTCTGCAGTCTCTCGTCACAATACAGAGCCACTGGGTCTGTCCCAGCGGTGAGCGCAGACACCTCTACCACTCAACAAATCAGCACGCCACAGAGACAACCTTCACAAATCCCATTTCCCACCGACACAATTGATTAGAATAATTTTGGATGTGATTGTCTCTGGGTACTTAGCCATAAAGCTGCAAGCCACAACGAGAGAGGGCACATGAAATTATGTGGATTCATAAGGAAATCTGCTTTGTGTCTGCTTTTTTTGAGAAACACACACACTCTCTTTCCCTGTCTTTCTCTCTCTCTCTCTTTGGAAGGAAGTGTCTTTCAAAATCGCGGCCATAAATTCAGCAGCTTGAAGAATGCTGATGTAGCAGGCTGCCAGCAAACACTCCCGTCTTTCCAACTGCAGAACAACCCACTGAAGCACAGATATGATTACCTTTTTAAGGAGGCGGCAGTAGGGAAGCTGCACATCTACTGAAATGTTTTCCCAGCAGTTAATTCCCTTACACACAATGCAAGCCAAGTCAGGTTTAGGTAATTCTGTTTGCTAATAATTTTATGCTTGGGAAAAAAAAAAAAACTGGCATCTGGCAAAATTTGGTTAACGTCTCGGTTACGTATGGTAACCCTCGTTCCCTGAAGGTGGGAGGACATTGCTGCAAAAAGGACAGCACGACCCTGATCGGCCATATTCGGGGGTCTTCTCGGCGAGAAGAACACCACTCAACGAACCCCAGCGACCGGTAACCAGGTCTGGGTTGGCCAATAGGGTGCCACCAACCGGACCTGCTCCTCGTCCTCCCTCCCAAAAAGGCTCACTGGGGGAAACGCATACTTACGAAGGCCCCGTGGCCAGCTGTGTGCCAGTGCGTCCGTGCTGAGTGTTCCCTCGGCCAGGGAGAAGAACAACTGGCAGTGAGAGGTTTCTGGAGAGGCAAACAGGTCTCAGATTACAAAGTAATACATGGGAAGAACAGGTATTTCATTCTAAAATTGACATTGATTATCACTATGCATTTTTAAATCATTTATTTAGGCAAATGTTTGGAGTGCAATACTGCATGCATTATGCTATTTTTCTTTATGTGAAAACATACACATTACAAATTTAAAATAATTGTAGGTTGACCTCATTTACCTCTTTCTGTTGTGTTCTTGATTCAATTTATCATCATCAGGTTTTTGTTTTTTTTTTCTGTCAAAAAGAGAAGGTATTTTATGCAGTGTTCTCCTTTGTTTACTGCACAGTTTGGCCATTTCAGTGGGCCATACAGTAAATTAATACTTTTATTTACCAAGGACAGGTTAAATTGATCAAAAGTGACACTAAAGACATTTGTAATGTTACAAGGTTTTTATTTCAAGTAGATTTTTTTTAACTTTCTGTTCAAAGAATCAAAGAATCTTGAAAAAAGATCACTGTTTCCACAAAAATATAAAGCAGCTGTTTTAAACATTGATAATGATAAGACCTGTTTCTTGAGCACCAAATCAGCATATTAGAATGATTTACACTCTTAAAAATAAAGGTGCTTCAAAGGGTTCTTCAAGCGATGCCATAGAAGAACCATTTTTGGTTCCACAAAGAACCATTCAGTCAAAGGTTCTTTAAAGAACCATCTCTTTCTTACCTTTTTATAATCTGAAGAACCTTCTTTAGCCACAAAGAACCTTCTGTGAAACAGAAAGGTTCTTCAGATGTTATAGGTTCTTTATGGAACCATTTGGGCAAAAAGGTTCTTCTATGGCATCGTGAAGCACCTTTATTTTTTAAGAGTGTATGAAGGATCATGTGACGCTGAAGACTGGAGTAATGCATTCAGCATTAAATAACACATTAATGTCTTTAATAAAAATAATAAATAAATGATTCGAAAGTGTTACATAGACAACATAGCTCTGTTTTAACCTAATTAATAATATAATTGCTGATATTATAAATATTATGTCTGTAAACCAGATCTACAATCCAGAAGTTGACATGCTTCAAATAAAATGAAGCATCAAAATATTTTAGTTACGGCTTCTATCAGCTATTTCGACTCATTGCTGACAAATAAAAAGGTGCTAATATTGACAATATGGTAACCAATATTTTATGTGACTGTTACTGACACTTGTGTCTCTTTTTCTGTCTCTGCGCAGCGGCATCAGGTGCTGAGGATGTGGCCTTGTACGTGGGGATCGTAGCGGTGGCTCTTTGTCTGACTCTACTGCTGATTGTGCTGGTGCTGGTCTACCGCAGGAAGAAGGAAGGTCTCGATGCAGATGTGGCCGACTCCTCCATCCTCACCACTGGCTTCCAGCCCATGGGCATCAAGCCCACCAAGCCAGGTGTGTGGGCACCGCGCAGGGCAGCCCGCAGCAGTAGGCTATTGTTTCTCTACACTATCCACCCCTCGTCACGGTGTTTCACACCCATCCTTTCATCCCAGTGCCCGTGTTCCTGTGCCACCTGTGGAAATCGCAACTCACAGTCTCGCAATTGTGTCCGTGTGTGTGCGGTGTTTACGTTAAATGGCGATAGTCATAGTTTTGTGTGTCATCTTCACAGCTGCAAACGATTGTGGTGGTTTTACTGAAATCATCTTTGAAGTCATAAGTGAGAGGAGGCCTTCACTCGTCCGCCTGCTACCGTGGGAAGTGATTTGGTAATAGTAGCATTAAGCTGATTTCCATTGATCCTCCCACGAAACAAATCTGCCTACTGCTGTGCACTTTCATTTTTACATATGTAAAGTGTTTAACGTGGGAAAAAAAAACGAGAGCGGTTCTGAAATCGCAAAATACGGAGTTGGATTTTGGGGATTTTAACCTGAAAAAAGCCACACAGAAAGTGTTAAAACATTTCAACCCTGACTGCTAGGCTTTCTTTAAACTCTGTATGGAATTGACTGTGGCTGTTAAAGAGGAGGAGGAGGCATTGATTTATTTACGAGTGAGTCTCTCTCAGCGTCGAAGGCCCGGCTACATCCATGGATTTGTGCATTTGCACTGAATTTCAATTTGTGTTGTGCACTTTTAACCACTGTGACCTTTCGAATCGTTTTTCACTTGTTTCTCTCTCTCTGTATCTACAGAAAACTCTCATTTGCTCACCATCCAGCCCGATTTGACCAGCACCACCACAAGTTACCAGGGAACGCTGCGTTCTCGCCACGAAGTCACCGGAAAGTTCTCCGTGAGCAACGGCCCCCTCCTGGAGCCTCTTCCTAACGGCTCCCACACGCTGCACAACGGCAAACTACCCAGCGACCCCAACGACTTCATGAACCGCCTGTCTTCTCAGACGTATTTCAAAACGCTACCGAGAGACAACGTAAACACCTCTTACGGAACTTTCAATTTCCTGGGTGGTCGCCTAACCCTCCCTAACACTGGTAAGATTATATGAATGCAAACAGTACAAAATGTTTTTTGTGTTTAGTCAGGAGTGTTGTGAAAGAGCTCTGGAGCTTTGTTAAACTGCAACGTTATTATACCGACATGGCCCAAAATGGAAGGGTGAAGTGATCCAATTACACGGTAATCCAAGCGGTATTATGTAAATCGGGACACGAGCGAATGCGAACACCTTCTAAAGAGGTTTTTTTCAAGTAACGAGGCAGAGCGGGCAAAGAAGCGCTTCCATTTATATACTAATGATTGTGTTATGACGATGATGACCGTTTTCCATTTTCGCGAAAATAGATGTAATTGGGGAACGTCTTGTTTTATCTTTCCCATTCTTATTTTTGAAGGATACCTCACTGCATCTTCTCCGAGCCGAGCCAGTGACTTAGTTGTCAGCCGTGGCACTGTAAGCCGATATACAGCGTCCGCATTCATAGTGCCTGCAACTCTATCCACTCCAAGGACACCACCAGAGTATATTCAAACCAATTAGTCTCCTTAATCACAGACAGAGGGTTCATCAGGCTGTCACAGATCACGAGGCAGTGGAAATGAAATAACCAGGGCTCCCTCGACAAAGAACATTGGCCTTCAAAATATAATGCCTGATACCTTTTATCCGTGACTATTTTGAGGATGGTTTATGGCTTATGCTGCTTTTATGCATTCATCTTAAATACGATTATTTTAGCAAAGTTTATTGTGTATTTATTTTATTATTATTATTATTATTATTATTGTTGAGTTAGGGGTTGACTACTTGTATAATAATTATAATAGCATATAATAGTGTATTGTTTTATTTTATTATTTATTTATTATTTTTTGCATGTATGTTATCTTCACATTTACATTTTTCACGTTATTTATTTTTTGAAAAACACATTTGAATTTAATAACATTTTAATTAATTATTTGAGATCCAATTCCAGTCAAGTACAGAAATTTAGATAACACTAATTAGGATTTATTATTTCTTTCTTTTACAAGGTATTTTGCAAAAGAAAAAAAACAATTCTGAAAGTAAATTTACAATACATTTTCTGAAAGTGCACATTGTTTAGTTTCAATTTGTGACTAATTTGAGGATGTTTTATGGCTTATGCTGCTTTTATATTTTCATCTTAAATATGATTATTTTAGACTAGACAAGTTACACACCAAAGTTTATTGTGTAGAGTTAGGCGTTGACTCCTTATATAATTATATATTATAGTATATTTATTTTATATACTATAATACTGTTTTATTTAATTCAAAAAAAAAATTTGTATGTCATCTTTACTGTTACAAATGGCCTAGAGTAACTTATTTTTCTTTTTCTTTTCTTTTCTTTTCTTTTATTTATTTATTTATTGTAAATAATATATAAAATATATAAAATATGTTTTTTTAAATAAATTCACATTTGAATTTACTAAAATTGAATGAATTATTTGAGATCCAATTCCTGTCAAATACAGAAGTTTAGATAAGACTATTTAGATTTATTATTTCTTACTTTTATTAAGGCATTTTGCGAAAGAAAAAAAAAACATTTTCTGAAAGTAAATTTACAATACATTTTCTGAAAGTGCACCTTGTTGAGTGTTATAGCCAACACATTGACTTATGAAACGATGTAAACTATGATTGTTTGGCTGTTTGCTGAAAAGGTAGAGACTGGATCTCTTGTAACTTTAATCGAATACCCCTGCTTTAGGCACTTCCTGTCACTTGTCCACATCTCCAGGGCTTAAAGTGAAAGAGTTTTGGAAAGTACACGTTAGATGACATCTTTGACCTTGACTGTGGATTTGTATGGTGTTAACCACATTTACTTTTGTCACATAGAGGCCCGCTGTGAGCTGTGACAAAAGCAGCGTTCAGATGGAACAAATTAGCCTACCTTGTCTCTTTTGTTCCTATTTACATTAGGGATCAGCCTGCTCATCCCGCCAGAGGCCATTCCCAGAGGGAAGATTTATGAGATTTATCTCACCATTCAGAAGAAGGAAGACATGAGGTAGGTCCCTGGAACCGATCTGAGGATCTGCCTCACAAAGAAAGGATGCACAGTTTGAATCATATTTGTAAAAGGCCCGGCATCTCCACATGCTGGCGTGCATGATTGTGTGTGTTTGTGTGTGTGCATGCCGTTTGCTCAGATTTATGACTAATGCTGGCTTGAGATATCAAAAGCTTGTGTGTATGTGTTGTATTGTCTGTTATATGTAAATGAGCCATGGGCTGCAAAGAGGGAAATGTTCTCCTGTTTTAGATTTTCCTGTTGAAGTGAAGCACCAGGTAATGGTCTGGCTATTTTTTGCTCATGCATTCATGCGGTGTTCACGACCAGCTCCCTACTGGGCTTGAATGCAGAGTGTGAAAAGTCAGATCAGAGCACCAGAGCCCTGATTAATAGTGGAACCTCATCTTGTTAAAGGGTCTGCTCTGGGCTCGACATTGGCCATCCATCCAGGCCCTGTTAGTTGAATCCTGACCATGTGCTCCCCCTCTGCCTCCCTCTAGATTGCCCCTGGCTGGGTGTCAGACGTTGCTGAGTCCCGTGGTGAGCTGCGGACCGCCCGGTGTGATGCTCACCCGGCCGGTCATCCTCAGTATGGACCATTGCTCTGATGCGTGCCTGGAGAATTGGACCATCCGTCTCAAGAAGCAGTCATATGAGGGAATGTGGGAGGTGTGTGTTTCTGTGTGTGTTTATGTCCAGCTATATAATTTTTTTTAATAATATATTAATAAATAGTATATCATTTATTTATATATTTAATTTTTTCATTAAATATTAATTTGATATAAAACATTAAATGATTTTAAAACCTTATATATTGCCTTATATAATGATTCCATAAAAATATATATATAGAGAGAATTATATTTATATTAGAATTATTATATTTATATTTATATACAATTATATATTAAATGACAAAGTATAAGTTAAACAGTACTAAAACTATATGTGTGTGTGTGTGTGTGTGTGTGTGTGTGTTAATATACTTTATTTTTGATTTTTTAATGATTATGTATTCTTTCTTTTAGGGAAAATTGCAATTAAAATCCGCCTGGCTCAAAAATCTGAATGGCCTTAATACATGTAAAATTGCATGTAAAGCGATTATTTAATATAATTTACATAAATGTATTAAAAAAAATTACTACCATCGTATTGACTTGAAATCTTGACAAATGTACTTGACAAATTTGGTATTTTTACAGTAATTAGTTTTCTATAAATTGCTTTACAGTAGGGAATTGAAATGTGGGGGAGAAATGTATTTCAATATACAGGAATATAATATCATAATGCAAAAAAAAATAAAAAAAATACTTGAAAATAGGAACCATTCTCTTTATGCAAAATGTAGTTTTAATTGATTTTGATCGATTTTGGGGTGAACATTTCTTGAAAGTTTTTGCCAGATTTACGTACTTGAGTACAAGTTTCTCCTGTGAAGCCATAAATTCCATCAGCCCAATTTATCGTCAATGTGACGATAAATAAAGATTCTGTTTTATATGATTGTGCCTCATTTTAATTTGCTTTGAACTGTATGCAGGTGGAATTCATGCTGTACGTTCACTTTTCTTGCCCTTTCCCATCTCTTTCTCTCCCATCATCCTGCTACTGAACTGAATATCTTATGGAGGCAAATGGGCTGTATCGTCATAATCATTTCAAATAGCCTCTCAGACAATAAAGCCCTGAAGTGTCTCCATCAGCGTGCTCCTCATTTCACCTATCTCTCATACCTTCACATTTAATCTCCATTTAATTGTATGGATCTTTTCCTCATTCCATCCGATGGCCATCAGCACCCACCTTTAAACTGAGCTGGGGTGAGTCCTTCATTACGCCTGATGGCTTTTCCAAATCTGCTCTGAACCACATCGGGTCGGTGCGAAATACATCAGGCACAAAGACAAGGAAGAGGAGGAACCTAGGGAGGAAGGGCGGAGGAAGAGAGTGAAGGTCTTCTTTCATGTTTGATACTGTGCATAAATTATTCAGGCTCCTTGGTGTGGCAGCAATGGGGCGGCAGTAGAATGAATAGGCCTGTCTTAGATCGAGGGTAGAGCAGCACTTTTAATCATCCCCTGCCCCAAATATAGCCCATCGGCGGCAGGTCGCCATTCTTGGCCAGGTACAGCAGACAAAAGAGGGAAAAAACACAAGGAAGTTTGTCCTGGAAGGAGCCTTGGCAGACAGACTCGCAGCAATTAATTTCTCCAGAGGACGCAGATCAGCAAAACGCGAGCAGAAGAGAATGAAATATAGTCTGTGTCGTTATCGAACCGCAGGAGGATTTTTTTTTCTGAGTCATTTAAAAAAATATATATATAATGGAAAAAAAAAAACCCAGACTTCATTGTGGTCAAATGGAAAACGGCTAGTGCCAATACTAATTTCACTGATGAAGATAGTGGCTTATTTTATTGATTGCTGGATGTAATTTCCTGGCCTGGATCCCGAGGTGCATGACAGTAGGGCCGCCTCTCTGTATTTGATTAGATAATGGTGTGAGCGGGAGAAAAAAAGAGAGATGGTGTGCGAGGAATCTTTCTGATGAGCTTCCTGCAGAAAGTTCTGTCGCCACATATCCCACTTGGCTTTTCTCTAATTAAAGCCACTCTGGGGAGCCATTATGTGATTGTATCTGACCAGAGACGGTGAGAAAACGGGATGTTTCCTCACAATAGCCTTGGCCTTTGCTAGAGTCACGTTTTCTGACAGAATGCCTTTTCTCCTGATTTTAGTACATTTTTCTTTGCATTAGCCTATACGAGGCACACTTGAAGGCATCTCTGATGTCTGTCAGGATTCTTACATCCAATTAAAGTAATTATCTTGCCATGCCCTGACAAGCTCCATATTGCGTATGGCAACCTGTTAATTAGTTTATTCTCCTGGTTATTAGTAGAGAAGCACCTCAAACTGTCAAACTCACTAATTGATTAACACAAAACTGTGGGGTGCAAAATGATGTAAGATTGGTTGTGGCTTTGCAACGGATGAAGCAAAGGGGGGGGAGCTAATTATTAAGGGTCTTACTTAATGATTTGAAATTTGAACAAACCCCCAAACTTAAGTATGAAACTTATCCCATACTGAACATGAACAATACTTTAAATAATACAGATTTTTATGGAGAAAGTTAAATTAAAATTAGGATCAGTTGGGGTCATGATTGATTGATTGATTGATTGATTGATTGATTGATTGATTATTTTGTTCTCTTTTTTTTTAAGAGATTATTTATGTATCTTTTTTTAGTTGATTAAGACATTATTCAGCAAAGATGCATTAAATTGATCAAACGTGACAGTAAAGACATTTATAGTGTTAGAAAAATGTTCTGTTCTTTTGAACCTTCTGTTAATCAAACAATCCTTAATAAGAAGATATGTTTCTTGATCACCAAATCAGCATGTTAGAACGATTTCTGAAGGATCATGTGACACTGAAGACTGAAGTAATGATGCTGGAAATTCAGCTTTGCCGTCACAGAAATAAATTACATTTACTTTATTACAAATTACATTATATACTGTGTATATATATATATATATATATATATATATATAAAGAGTTTGGTTCCAAAATGCGATAAATGCCATTTAAAAAAATATATTTTAGTTCCCCCCAAAATCTGTATTGCAGCCTATCTGGTCGGTATTGAAAAGTAAATTTTATGCAAAATGCGATATCCACCGTGTTATTCTGTCATGTTTTCTCCCTATCTTTCCAAACCACGACAAACGCCCATCTCCCTTCTCTGCAGAATGCAATACATCCGCTCAACCAATCACAGCGCACCATTCCACGCATTGTAAACTGTAACTGACAAGCTACACAATATCGTGTTCATAATCGCAGATGAATCGCCTTCAATTATGAACGCGATATTGCGTAGCTTGTCAGTGATCTGCGGCTCTAATGCCGCTCCATCTGAAAGCACGTGATGGAGATTTACTGTTCACAGAACCGGCTTTACTGACGAGATACGCATGACAATCACATGCGATTTATCATGCAGCCCTAAAAAAAATGAATAATTTTGACGGCATTGATGAAGATGTGGTGGTTTCTGCAGTGGGGAAGAAATGTAAGCTATTAATAAGATTAGTATTGACCAAGTTCAGAGGCTGTCGTATGTGGATCAACTTACTTTGTTGTGTATTTTCAACAGTTTCAATATGAAAAATAACTTGTATATTGATTCAATGGATTTATTGCATTTTGGAGAAAAAATAATCAGCTTTTATAATAAATAGTGCTGGGCAACAACAGATTTTGTTTTAAATCGTGATTAATCGCATTATTTTCTGCGATTAATCGTGATTTCCCAAATTGCACTCACTACTCTGAGACATACGTCCCTATAATTTCCGCGATGCGGAAAACACAGACTGGTTCGTAGAATCCAGTCATAAAAACGAATTCCTATATGTTATGCAAACATTACAAAGTAGAGACCTGCACTATCGCGGGACCCAACGCAACAAAGTGCAGCGCGGGACAACACTTGATGGGCGTGTACGGGCGGGGTTCGGCCCTGGCTCGTTTGGAAGAGGTGGGCCAGAGCGCGGTTCAGTTGGGCTCGGGCACGGTGCGCATGTAGTGTCGAAGCGTAGAACTTCTGATACGTACATCATGATTGCGTGAACATTTCTGAGCGGCAAAAGCGATAGATCTGTAAAGCAATATGTTGTGAGAGGGCCATGTGTTACTGCGTCCCAAACGACTGCTGAGCGAGAGTGCTTCTCTGCTGTCTTCACTAACTTGTGAGCGCTTCATGTGAGCTCTGCTACTGCAGTCTTAGGTCCACACCATATGCTCTCATTGGTTGAGATGCGTGATGATGCTCATCCCAAGCCAGTAACCTACTGATCAACATCCCACCCCTCCTGTGACCCATGGTTTGTCTGTGTGTGTATTCATAGCAAGTGAGCAACGGACTTTCATAATAATAAAAAACTTGCGATAATAACTTGCCTAGCCGTAATTTATTTGTAATGCTATCTAAATTAATAAATTTGTAACTTTTTTCATGTACAAAACTTCATGCCCTCAACGCATGTCTTGAACTGATGTTGAAGAGAAGAAATTGTCGAATAAAGTTATTTCAGTTTTTTGCGCACAAAAGTATACTCGTAGCTTCATAAAATTACGGTTGAACCACTGAAGTCACATGTTTTGACAATGTTTTTGGTACCTTTATGTACTTAAAGATGCTATGTGAAAGTTTGAAACAGATAATAGTGGTTTTCATCTTGCCACTTTCTGGATTTATTGCGTTTTGGAACCAAACTCTTCATATATTTATATTTATTTATTTATATATTATGTATAACAGTTATTTTAAATTATAATAATATTTCACAATATTGTATTTTTTTGTTGCATTTTTGATCAAATAAATGCAACCTTGGTGAGCATAAAAGACTCAAAAACATTTAATAAATCCCCAGACTTTTGAATAATATTGTACATTGAAGCAGCAACCTAAGACATATCTAGGGATAAGAATATCACAGAGACCTGAGCCAGTAAAGTCACCTAAAAATACATAGAAACACCTAGCTTTGTGGCAGAGAGTTTTTCAACTGGCAGCTACACAAATTTTATTTAGAAAATGCAGAAGTACCCTTTACAATCCACAAAAAAATTAATTAAATGCATAAAAAGTATTCATTCATTCATTCATTCAATTTTATTTTTTATTAATTTATATTCATTTTAATTGCTCCTATTCCTGTATTTAACTTTTGGTATTTTCACATAAGAAGTCAATCTGAGCTGTAGAAATTTCAGAAGATTTATTCCCTGCTTGTAAGCAGAAGAACAGAAAGCCCTGATCACTACCACGTGTGAACATTCAGGATGAACTCCTGCTATTAGTGTCTCATTAGAGCACAGAACACAGCTCATTATGCAGGTCTTTCAGTTTCTGCTCAGCCAGATCGCTTCACTGTATCTAAAATCTGACACGGAACATCCTCAGGGCAAGAGCTGACCATCTCTCCAATAACTCCACTGACACAGCCGCTATCTGCCTTCCCCTCTGATCCCTGTGTCATTGTCTCATTGGCTCCTCAGGATGTACTTCAGCTTGGTGAGGAAGTGGTATCGGAGCCGTACTACTGCCAGCTGGAGGCGGAGACGTGCCGGGTGTTCACTGAGCAGCTGGGCCGCTTTGCTCTGGTCGGGGAGTCCCTCAGCATGGCTGCTTCTAAACGCTTCAAACTGCTGCTGTTTGCTCCCGCCTACTGCTCTACACTGGAGTACAACATCCGCGTCTACTGCATGGACGACACACAGGACCTGCTAAAGGTGAGGCCTTTGATTCAGAATATACAGTAGCTATACTTATGCCAATTACCCAGCCAACAAAAATATGCTGTATGTTTTGCTAATGTTGCCATTAGGTTTCTTGGTTTTGTTACTGTTAAGGAAACATTCCATTTTATCATTTTGCAAACATTATGGGAATGTTAATATTAGATGTTCTCTGAACATTCGCAAGCAAGCATATTTGAAAAATGTTAGACGAATGTCCAACAAAAAAAAGTTTCTGAAAAAACGTTCCATGAAAGATGCATAAATGACTTTTTTGTGCTAACGTTTTAAGAACTAGATAACTTTGAACGAACATTCCATTTATGTTACTGGAAGAACGTGTGTTCATATCTTTGAGAGAACCTTGCCAATACATTATGAGAATGTTTACCTAGTTTTGTCTTCTCTCTCGCTCAATGCCAGTCCTCTTGAACCCTGCTGAAAGAACAAACTTAGACCAGTTTGATAGGAGTAGTTCACCCAGTTAACTCATTTACTCACCCTCATGTTGTTTCTTTCTTTTGTGGAACACCAAAGGAGAAAATTAGAGGATGTTTTTAATGTCAATTTAATGGTTTCATGGAAAAGATCATGAAAAGAGTCTATGAATGTTTTGTTTTATGTGAAAGAAAGAGTCAGACGTGTTCAGAACAATTTGTAAATTGTATGATGACAGAATTTTCATTGTTGGGAGAACTATCCATTTAATTGCTGGTTAACCAAAGATGTCTTGCTGTTTAAGCTAGAAAAATAAATAATAACAATAAAATAAGATGAAATGAAATGAAAAGAAATGAAATAAAATAAAATGCTGATCACTAGTCATGCATTTTTCTTTTTCTTTTTTATCTGTTTCTTTTTCTTTTTTTCTTCTTTCATCAGACAATCAAATTTTGTTTTCAGTTCCTTCTGGCTTACACTTATTTTTCTTTCGCTCCCACTCCTAAAAGATCAGGAATAATCAAGAGCTAATGCCAAAGCAGCCTCCCTCGAGGAGCACGTCTGAGCAGACTGTTAAGATTTCATTTGCATGCTTAATTAGTAAATGAAAAGGAGAGACTCTCTGGCCGTGGCCCCTGAGCTCTGCTTGGCTCTCACTGTCAAAGTAAGAGGGTCCGTTCCCTGCTCTGCCCACTCCAGCCTCTGAGAGCCTGCCAGAAAAGATGACCTGCCCTACCCAAAGCTGCCTGCTGGGCCCCACTAGGGTGGGCTGTCGGGGGAAAGAGATTACGAAAGAGATGCCAGGAATTTGCCCGGTTTGTTTAATTAAAGGGGTCATTTGATGCTTTTTTTAAAGATCATTATTTGGTGTAGCAGAATATGATGACATGCTTTAATGTTCAAAAAACACATTATTTTTCAAATACTGTACATTATTGTAGGTCCTCTATGCCCCGCCTCTCTCAAACGCTTCGTTTTCTACAAAGTCCCTCCTTCCGACAAGCGCAGTCTGCTCTGATTGGCCAGCTGACCCAGTGCATTGTGATTGGCCGAACACCACAAGCACTCGTCGGAAATGTAACGCCCCTTACCATAATCGCGAGCTAATCGCATCATATGACCCCTTTAAAATGAGCTCTTAGCCATGCAAAGATGAGAAGTGGTCCAGTGTATGATGGATGTGAGCATCTCCCCTCCAATTCTATCCAAAGGGTTCATGAGAAGGCTGACTGTTCTGTCGTTTTAAAGTTAAGTGTTCAAGTGGTGATTTGTTCCCACCCCCCACCCACCAAAAAAAGCCCTATTTATTTTTTTATTTTACAGCAGTTGCTGTTATTTAGAGATTGAATGCGTGGCTGTGTGATGTGCTTTTATCTATAGCTAGGGTGTTGAGCTTCTAATATAGATGCTTTTTTAACCCATGACCTCCTTTCATACTAACCTTGCCTTTGATCAGGAGTGGGCCGCTCCAGGGGTATCTTCATACGTGGACAGACTCAGTCATGCAGTGCTCTCGTGTGGTGCTGCTTTCTATGAATCCACCCTATCTGCATTTTTCACTCCCCTCAAATGCACAGACTGCTGCAGTGAGCCACAATGGCCTTGTAGGATATGCAGTTTCTTACTCTGTGGTTTAGCGGGGAGTCGAATGGACTGTATGCTGATCTTTGTCAGTATAAAAAGGGAGAGTTTTTGTTCCAAAGGCCAGAAACATACTGTATTCAAGTACATGAATGCGGATGCTTCTGCAATATCATGTTAAACCTGGAAATGTGCATTTTTAAATATGTAAAAATGCCTGTTCTGCTCTGTACTTCTAAACAATCGTGGTGTTTTGAGTTACTGCACAAATGAATCTTTTTCGCAGTATTCTTTGTACAACATTTGATTTTTGAGTTGCTTTGGATAACAGAATTTGCTTAATGAATTAATGTAAAGAAATATTCTAGTTTGCTCCAATTGTAAATATAAAGTTTTAATAAGCATTAAAATTCTATGAGAATAGGAAAGTCCACACTACAAACCCAAAGTTCTGTCATGAATCTCTAGATAGTGCAGGCTGATAGGTTCTACCTCAGTCTGACATGATGACACAATTATTCACATGGTGCAGCTGATTGGTTCATTTTCGAGTCAGCAGCCAATGAGCTTGCTGCTCAACATTTAAATACTCGGCTAGTGCTTGCTGTAGCAGGTGCAGCACACTTCAGAAACCCTCCACCTTCCCCAGCTCCACCTGTATACATCTCTACTACGGGGTGATTTCATGTCTGTTATATATGGGGGTTAATTCATATGTTATATGTGCAGCAGCAGCAGTATTTCCTACATGCTTGCAGCAGCATGTCTGTGGATGTATTGGCAGAAGCAAGTCTAGGAGATCTATTCCACCAAGACCAAACACAGCCAAGACTAAACTCTCAGAGAGTTGTCATGACATAATTATAATAATAACGACAGAAGAATAGTATCGTTGAAATCACTTCTTTGGCATATCGTTCTGAAGCAATGATTTATGAATCCTATGAATCTTTTTGAATTTATGGAACAATCAAAAAGTTTGGGACCCTGCTTCTCGATACACCAGCACAGTTTCACATGTCATTATATTCTACAATGTTTTAAACCCTTACTCATTGCATGCTGCATTCTTAGCTCTGTCGCAAGGGTCACTATATTGGATATTAGCTTGACTGCTGTTATTAATACGTTTTTTTTTTACTGCCGCATTGATGCAAGAATGCTTGTAAAGCAATGTGTTTGCAGTCTTGCAATGCATTGGCCAACCATTTGTGAACTCGTGTAGAGTATGTTTGTGGTCTAACAGGTGTTTCACCCCCTGAGAACCACATCTGAGTCCCTGATTGACTTTCCTTCAAAGATGTAAGGCTGATTTATTGTGATGGAATTATTATGCTAATTGTTGCTGATAACAGAAGAGGATTTCGGAATTAGTATAGCATTAGAAGCGTCGGTCATGACAAAGATGCATTGTTATTTTTTTATGCATCTTTCTCCACCATCATCTTGGGTGAATATTAATTGCATTTTGATCGCTGCCAGGCTACTACATTACTTCGAGAAACGGTAATGCACCACAAATGAAAGGGATACCGCTATTATTTTTAGTGGTTGTCTCTCAGAACTTCCTACACTATACAAATACTTTTTCTCCTTTCCGATTTCTTTCCTATTCATTCTTTCTTTCTCAGTCATAAGCTTTGCTTGTGCCTAAAACAACAGAAATCTTTAATCTCCCAATTAAGCCACATTAAAACAATGTAATTGTCTTTAATCACGAGTATGATATTTGGGAGTCAGTGACATTTCAGCAGAGATGCTTTCAATATGTTTGTGTGTCTTATGGGACCAATTAGATAAATATTTAATGTACTATACAGCTGCCTGTTTCAGAACTGCTTCCACTGCTGGTTTTACTGTAGCTGGACACATCATAGCTGCCACCCTTCCTAAAGCTCAACTACAGAACCCGTGAGAGACACTTCCTTTGATGTGGTTAATTATTGTGCTTATCTGCATGACCTCCAAATATAAACCTGACCTTATTAGGCCATGCTGACCTTTTTTGAGCCTCAGTGTTGGACCGCACAAACCGCTACGCCAAGTCTCTGACCCTTTCATTCTTGATGTGATCTCACCATAGTATTTGACCTTTCAACAAAGCAAGATTGGTAGTATCTGCATCCACTGCATTAAGATCCAGATTATAGTGCACTAACATGTTGCAAAAAGGTTTGAAGCACCAGCAGAGGAACGTTTTAGGTTCACTGGTTTATCTGGCTTGTCACTAGGCAGTGGATTGTAAAATATCCTCTCGTTTCAGAGATGAATGAACGATGACCTTTGGTGCCTCTTTCCAAATGTTGTTCACATTTAATCAAGACCCGTGTGATATTCTCTTCTCCCTCCAGACCTTTCAACCCAGCAGCCAAATGTCTGAGGAGCCACGTCTGGTGTTTTCTATCTGCTGACTGGGCTAGAAACAAATAGAGAGAGAGGAGAGCAAGCGTTCTCATATTTGACCTTTCGTCTAACATCTGAGCTTAATTTGCGCGTATGTGTGTGCATTCACGCTGTCGGGGGGAGAAACCAAAAATGGTGCACGGCTTTGATCACTGATGTAACATTTAACGAGACAGTCGGCTTCATCAACCGACGGCGCGAGAGAACGAGACAAAACAAAGCCTGTATGTTGCTCTGATTTGTCAAATCCATTTCTCTGGAATGCTTGTTTGGAAAGCTACTCGTACGTCGCTCGTGTTTTTAGTTTTTAATCAGAGAGAGGGGGCAAGGGAGAGAAATATCTGAGGTGTTGGGTGGGAAGGAGAAAAATAACCTCATTACTAGCTGGAGAAAACTCACAGACATATGTCTAGATGATTTACATCTGTGAAATGTTTGCCTCTATCATTCAGATCTCTTTTCTGACTTTTCTGACTTGCTCATCAGCTCAGAAAGTGCAAGGTCTGTTTTCTCACGGCTGAGAAGTCACAGAAGACACCATGCGGAAATTAGTCTATGTCAGTCACTTTGTTATGCTCTCATATCTTTATGCACTGTGAGACAGTTGAGATTAAGTTGTAAAACAGACTAAAAGTAATCTTCTATTACTGCGGATCTATACTGTCATTAAAATCAAAGCCTTTTTATTTAGTTCACTGATTTAAGATGTTGTGTAACAAACTTGTCTCGGTGGTTGTTAATTTATGGCGTGCTCATTTTGATTTTATACGGTATGATGGTTATTTCTTGTACCTTATTACTGGCAAGCCGGTCGGGACAAATGGATAGAGCCCACTCTGCATTCATGTTTAATAGCTTTTTATTTGAATAGCTCTGAGATAGATTTACTAGAAGGAGTTTATTAAGGCATTGCTCATACTTAGGGGCTGGGACTTCAACAAACCCGTAACGAAAAGTACTAAACTTGGCCACCCTAACAACTATCCAGAACACCCTAGCAACCTCACAACAAAATGCAAAAACCATGAACTTTTGACCGCTGCGGTTCAATCTTCTGAGGTTTGACATTAAGTGTTTTATCTTAATGGAAGTTTGGGTCACTGTGAACTTTGTAAACACATTGCCCTTTTGCCTGAATGGTTTTTAAATGTTTAGCTTGTGTGTGTTTGGCGGAGGAGCATTTGTAGCATGTGAGTTGTAGCAGAGCATCTAACCTCCTTCTGTCAAAGACGGCGAGGGGAGATAAACTATAGAAGAGTCTCTTGTATTCCCAAATGGAGTGCAGCAGTAGTCCGTCAGAGCCCCCGCTCAGCACACCACAGGAGCTGTCCAGGCTTGTGAGGATGAAGGGTTTGTGGGCTCCGGAGGACTGTGACCATGCTTCCCATAATCCTGTTATCTCTCTCTCTAAAGCTTACCACTCTTCTGACCCGAAGACACCAGTGTTAAGCTGCCTCTGTCTCCTCTCCGTTCGTTTTTTGTATTATATCGCTCGCTTACTAGTTCTCTTTTTCACCCTCTCTTGCTCCAGTTCTTAGTTTTCCAGTGGGTAAGAAAAAGACAGAGGGTGGGCTTCATCCTAGTTTTTTTTTTTATCTAAAGTCACTGTCAAAGAATATAAAATCTTTTTTCCCAAGTATTTTATATGGCTAAGTCATCACCATCCATGAAAACTTCACATTGTCTCCCCCTTGTATATACTTTAAAAGACTCTTTACAAAAATACAGTGGTAGCCAGTTTCTGCCAAAATGGTGTAGTTACTACAGTTCTAGTCAAGGGTGTCATGCACGTATTTTTTGAAGGGGAACAAGTGGCATTTCTGGCTCTCTTGGTGCCCCATGCAGGCAAGAAAAGACATGACCAAAGAAAGAAAAAGAGAAAGTGCTAGGGGAGTTCAATAATAGATTTATCTTGCTGTGTTTTTTTGTTTATTATTTTAAACCATATATTGTAATTATAAATAAGTTTAAATAAAAAAGTGATATATATGTATATATATATATATATTTATTATTTCTATATTAATTTATTATTATTATTATTGGATCAAAAATACTACTGTAAAGCAGATTAATTAATATAGGATCTCCTTTTGTATAAAATGCTTAAAAATTATTTTTTTGATTATTATATTTTTACTGTGTAAAAATATCTATATTGTATGGTATATTGGTTTTAAAGTGTATTTTGCATGCAATATGGTGGTTTTTCATTGAAAGAAGTCATGTTGGGATTGTTTTAATGAAATTCTGTGACAATTTATTAACAAGACAATAGGGTGTAAACAGGGCCAATATTCGCTCAGCCTGAGACATATGCTGAAAGCAAACACACAAATGGCAAGCTCAGTTCTTGGCTGAGATGCAGCAGCGGCGGGCCAAGACTGACATGTTTCCTCTCATCATTTCGAGCTGGTCTTGTTAATATATGTAGGGTGGACAGGCTGGACTGTGTCTGCATTGGTATGCATGCTCTTAGTTATTCATAATGGGATAATTGGCGTGCTCTTCTGTGTCTCCCATTACTAGGCAGCTAGATGTGCTGATAGGTCAGAATGAGGATCAAAGTCCATAAGCAGCTATTTGCAATGCTAATTTCCTCCCATAGAGTGATTGTATTTAAGAGAACAATGTAAAATGAGATGCTTGTAGCCTAAATAAAGTGTCTTTTGTCGTGAAGGAGAGATTATATTCCTCTTCTGATTGGAGTGCGCTTAGCCATTGACTGACATATGACCTAATGGCATGAGATAAATCTTGACCTCTAACCTATTCAGTTCTCTTAAAATTCACCTCAGTGGTTGGGCTGAAGAATCATGAAAAGATGTCAATGTCTCTATCTTTGCTGTGCTAATGGAGAAAGACTGTAGCTTGACTTTCCGACTCTGATAGTAAAAATGTTTAAAACTGCTTTCATTATCTCCCATTAAACCACTTGGGGTCTTTAAAAAGATAAAAGAGTGTTTTATGCCAGAGACCAGAGACAAAACTCATGTGTAGAATTTTTAGTTTTAGCTTAGTTTGTTATATAAAGATACTTCGTTCTGGCATCATTCTAAGACATAATGCATTGAAACAAGCTCAAAATAAGTACAATTTGATCAGTTATAGGTAGATAGATTATTGTGTATAGATAGTATTGTGTTCTTAGTTTAGTTTAGTTTAGTTTAGTTTAGTTTAGTTTAGTTTGGTTTGGTTTGGTTTGGTTTGGTTTGGTTTAGTTTCCTCAAAGGCAATTGCCATAAGTTAGAAATTGTCTCCTTGGTTTGGTTTGGTTTGGTTTGGTTTGGTTTAGTTTCCTCAAAGGCAATTGCCATAAGTTAGAAATTGTCTCCTTGTAAGAAACAGTGGGAAGCTCACTTGCTTTTGAAACTGTAGTTAAGCGGATAATATGGTACTTGTACAGCAGGTATTGCACATGAATAATTAACAGGTTCTATACCGTTTTAATTGAAACTGGGCCTGCCGATACTTGGTAAAGAGTGCAGAAAATTGAATCGTCCATGTGCAGATAAAAATCACTGAGATTCTCCATCTTAATTAGAGGCGCTCTCAAACACAATTCATGTGCATCCACATTCACACAGAAAAGAATCAAACATATGGTAATAACCGGACCCCCCATCTCTCATTTGTTGTCTGTTCGTTCAAGTAGTTTTGTTTTATACACACCGCAGCTCGCTTCTCAGGAACTCTTCACCTGTTTCGTTTTTCTTTAGTTCTTACCTTTGTGCTGTTGTTTTGTTAGTAAGTTCGAATGTTATGAAAGATTGATACCTCTCTCCTCCATTTGTTGTCTATTCGTTCAAGTAGCTTTCTTTTATACACACCGCAGCTCGCTTCTCGGGAACGCTTCACCTGTTTCGTTTTCCTTTAGTCTTTACCTTTGTGCTGTTGTTTTCTAAGCAAGTTTGAATGTTTATGAAAGATTGCCGTCCTGATTGGGAAGGTCTGCCAGTCCTCTAACCTCGGCCAATTCATCATGTTGTTTGAGCTGTAGTTCCTCTGTGTGAGCCGAGGTCTTTGATGGGAGTCTTTCGGCTTTCAGAGACCTCTGCTCTGCGTACTCCTTTAGCATGAGAGATGTGCCCTGAAAAAGAATTGATAGATCAGCCAGGATGTGCATGGATATTATTACCTAATTCCAGATGGTCGTTCTGATGGCAACAAATGGCCTTGCCGTACCAACCCCACTGAGACGAAAACATTAGACGTGCGAGTACAAATTTCTCCTGGCACAGCCGCAGAAATGAAATTAAGCGGATCTTTGATGCACGAACAATGAGCACTTGACGAATAACTCAGCTCGAACCTTCATTACCCCAGCACCCTTGGATTTGGAGTGCATTCGCCAGAGTTGCCGTGACCTTGGCGTGACATTAAAGCAGCATAGGGGAAATGGAACAGGGTTACGAGGGCCATGGCCTGACTGACTGTGCTATGCCGTGTTGCTCCACAGGAGGTGATGCAGATGGAAAGACAGCTGGGAGGTCGACTGATTGACGAGCCTCACGTTCTGCTCTTCAAAGACAGCTACCATAACCTGCGCCTCTCGATTCACGACATGCCCCAGGCACACTGGAGGAGCAAACTGCTCGCCGGCTATCAGGTGGGTTTCTATAAAACACCTTCTCTCTTGCAGCAGCACTTCTTGTATTAATGGTGTTTGCTACAGTGAGCTCCTCTATTGTTAGCGCTAATACTTGGGATTATCGGTTTTCCAAAACCCATTCACCTCAAATATTAAATGTATTAAACATTAAATATAAAAAAAGGCCTGGAACATGATAAATATACTCTCAGAAAAAAAGGTACTAATAATGTCACTGAGGTGAAACCCTTTCAAAATGTACACACTTACTTACAAAAAGTACATATTAGTACCTACATATAAGAGGGCTTTTCTATTTGAAATAGTTAAAGGTGGATTAGGCAGTTTACTGTACGCACTACTAGTGTCACCAGAACTACAAATATAAAGCATGTTTTCAAATAACCTTTGCAAATATCCCTTTTACGCATCACGCCTCCACCTCTTATGAGTCTATAAAAGTGGAGGTATGTCTCAACGGGTAAAAGTAGATGATTAGACTACTATTTTCAATAAAAGGCCCATCATACAATACTTTTAACTTCAAGTTTAGCTTACCTGTTGAGATCAAAGTTCGTCATATCAATTGAAACCAAAAACATTTAATCCGACCAAATGTCTGACTGATTGAATGCAATGATTGGACAAACATTTTATGGCCCTGAGCCTTTCACAGAAGATATATACATATACATGTCTATATATGTCTATATATGTATATATATATACATATATAGACCACTTTATTGATGCCAGACCTTTTAACCAGTATAACAAAAATGTTTCTGGAAAAATTACCTACCATATCTTTAATCCTGGGTCATTATAAACCAAGGGAAAGCTGAATCCAGGGTTATCTTGCTTAATATTACACATTGTTCATAATTTACCTGGGGGTTAAAAATTGATCATGTACTGTAAATGGGTTTTCTGTCACCATTTGACAAATTTTGCCTCATGACCATTTATACAATGTACAGTTTTCTGTGACTGTCTAAAGCATGTGAACGTGAGGCACGTGATTGGCTGTCTGTTGCTAAGCATCTAGTCATAGCATTCTAACACCACATCATTTCACACTGTGCATGTTTGGCACCACAATGCGGGGTTAACAGTGCAAAAGCAGTGCTAAGCCTGCTCTGGATGGTAAATAATAATACCTTTTGAAAGAGTACCCAATGACAGCTTTTGTACCTTTTTTACTTAGAGTGTAGGCAAATAAATTCATATTTAGAGAAGCAATCGCTCAAAGTCCTAGCAACCACATAACGACACCCTAGCAACCGCCCAAATTGTTCTGGCATTGTGACAAGAAGTCAAGGGTAAAGTAGCTGCAAAATGTTTCCCTCTGTTTGAAATTCTTTGCCTCTATAACGTGTACTGCGGATGTTATGTTTGTCTTTTTGATCTTTGTTGTCAAAGTCTTTTCGAAGCGTAATTGAACGAGTTAAGAGTTAGTTAGCCAAGTTATTTTTTCTTGGGTGCAAATTTGAAGTGCTGTGCTCTGTGGCTGCTTTGAGCTTTCTAACAGGTTGTGTGATCTGGTATGTCCTCTGGATTGCTGTAATTGGAAATTTCTTTGGTTTCGCCTCATTAGAGTATTTCTGAACGTGCGGGAATGCTAAAGAAGCCCATTATAGAGTGAATTGTCGAGCAGGGACCCTAGAACGTCTGCTCTTAATAACATGCACGGCCTTGGCTACGAGTTAACGGCTTCTTGGGTAAAGAAGGATTGAGAGCGCTGCAGTTTTCTCAAACGCCTTCCTCACCCGCTCTGCCCATCTCAGGACTCTTTCCCACTGGAGGAGATTAAATATAGACCAATATGTAAATGCTCGAGGCTGCAACACCTGATTTTTCTCGTATTTCCCTTCCTGGATCATGTATGCTGGGCCTCAGAGGAACGTCTCTGGATTCTGGAGGAATCTTGGCGTAAAAATCTCCTCTGAGGATTTGGAGATGCCAGCTAACAGTGTTACAGCACAAATGTGCATAGAGGAAACATTTTCTCACCTGAATGTACCCTATTTTTTAGATAAGTATGTTGCTTGGCTGGTTTTTTCAGTCTGTGTAACAGCTCCCCCATTTGAGTGAACTGAAATACTGCATATTCACTAATAACGCTGCCTTTTATTGATTTGCAGTTTGATTGGTTCATGATTGATGTGTAGTCTTAAATAATGTGCGCTTATCTTTGTTTTTTGTGTCGCTCTTCACAATTAATTAGACGGTATGAGACGAGAGCATGTTATAAAGCTAAATAATTAGTCTAATCAGACTGTCACGCTGAACGTGTTGTATTTGACAGACTAAATGTATTGTTTTAATAAGTGTTCTTATTTTATTTGACTGTGGATATGCAGGCATATCTGCTCTATCTACTGAATTGTGCTCGTTCATAAATTAAATCCAAATCCCCGGTTGTGAACAATTAGCTTTTAAAGGCGTTCTACTGTTGTCAGAGACAAAGAAACTATTTTGCTGCTTTGTTTGAAAATGTTGCCAACAATAGATTTAGAAGAGCTTTCATAGACTCGCACCGGCAGCCACAGCATCATAAATCATCAGGTGTTGGACTTTTTCTTTGTCTGTGTCTCTTACTGATCATCAAATTCAGCTGGATCTATTGTTTGCAAGTGGTGAACTTTTAATGAAAAGGAAGCGGTGTATTATCTACCAAGTGACAGAATTCTTCTCTTTATTTATGTCACATGCAAAGTTTGCCAAAGTTGGCAAAATGAGGAAACTTTTGCATAATTCATGTGTTGAAAAAATTGAACTGCATTCTCCTACGGCACTGAAATGTGGAAATGCATAAATATTTCACTTTATATTTGTAGACTTTGGGGAAAATAAATTATGGGAAATAAATTATATGTAGTGTAAACTGTTACTCTAAAATACACTGCTACAGCCTAAAAAATGACTCATAATTTTGATTTTATTGCTGGTTGGACTTATGTTTTTGAAACAATCAGTTCTGACAAGAGTAGATTTCAGAAGTGATTTGTTATGGACAGCAACAATTCAGTGTGACATGTCTTTGACCCTTTAGGAGATCCCGTTCTATCACATCTGGAGCGGCTCTCAGCGGACCCTGAACTGCACCTTCACACTGGAGAGACAGAGCATGAGCACCTGTGATCTCACCTGCACACTGTGTGTGTGGCAGGTAGAAGGAGAAGGACAAAGCTTCACCCTGGACTTCAACATCTCGAAGGTAACTGAGACCATCTGCAGTATGATATGCCAGTAAACAGTAGAGATTAGTATTATTAAAGCTCCTTCAGTGAGAATTGGAATTTGGAATTGAAATGATTTGATGTTGTATTGTGAGATTCTTACACCTAAGATTTTTTTTTGACATTATCCAAAACCTTGGTAAGTTGATTTGGATTTAGAACAGAATTGAAATAGATTTTTTTAAGCTAAAATGTTGAAAATGTAACTAAATTGAATAGACTTGATACTGTGGTCTGCACATATGCTTGTAACACATGCACATACAGTTGTGCTCATAAGTTTACATAGCCCTTGCAGAATGTGCAAAATGTTAATAATTGAAACAAAATAAGAGGGATCATGAAAATTGCATGTTATTTTTTATTTAGTACTGTCCTGAATAAGCTATTTCACATAACAGATGTTTACATATACGTACTCCACAAGACAAAATAATAACTGAATTTATAAAAATAACCCCATTGGAAGGTTTACATACCCTTGAATCGTAATACTATGCGTCATTTCCTGAATGATCCACGACTGCTTTTATATTTTGTGATAGTTGTTCCTTGTTTGTCCTGAGCAGTTCAACTGCCTGCTGTTCTTCAGAAAAATCCCCCAGCTCCTGCACATTCTTTGGTTTTCCAGCGTCTTCTGCATATTTGAAGCCTTTCCAACATTGACTGTATGATTTTTAAATCCATCTTTTAACACTGAGGACAATTGAGGGACTCGTGCATAACAAATTCAAATTAGATTTTGAATTTGAACAAAAGGTGAAAACGTACTGATGCTCAAGAAGGCCACAAAATGCATTAAGAGCTGGGGGGTGTAAACTTTTGATGATCAGGGTAAATTGTACTTATGTCTTTTGGGAAACATGTAAGTATTTATGTAGCTTCTGAAGTCCAGTACTAAATGAAAAAATATGATCGTTAAACAAAATGAGAAGAATTTACACATCATGTAATTTTCATGATCCCTTTTAGTTTATTTCAATTATTAACATTTTGCACATTCTGCAAAGGGTATGTAAACTTATGAGCAGAACTGTATATTAATTTTATATTATAATGAGAGTTTGGAGTTTTAATGTGAACTGAATATGAATTGAAATGTAGTCTACACATGCATATTTAAAATATTTCTCAAAAACTTTTGAATGTCTCATACTACTAACTATTTTCCAAACCGATTCTGCTGCAAACAATTAGATTTTGAATTTGGTTTATAATAAGAATTGTATGGAACGATATTCCGGACAATTTTCAAAAGGAATTGCAAATTGTATTTTCAATTGCGTTTTCCATATGTGGACGCATAAATTGTCACATAATCCAAATGCAATGAGAGATGCTGAGACAGGTGAAAAGCGTTTGGTTAATAGTGAATGTTGACCTATTGTGCGTACCGTTGTGGCTCCTGCTGTTAGCAGGGATAATCGCTACATTTGGGGTAAAAAAGACAGAATTATGTATTGTGCCAAGAAGGTTGTACTGTCTGTTCGTTCACACAGGTACAAACTGATTGGTAGCTGCCTTTAACGGAGCCTTTACCGATTACCTCCATTGATCAGAGCATTCGGCACGGTCGTCTGTGAGTGACGTCACCTCCCAATACAAACACGCCCCCTAGTATAGTCCCGCCCCTGACGATGATTGGCAGCTTTCCATGTAGACATTGGAAATTCAAATGCAAAAGGAATTGCGATTCCATTTGAGTTTTGGCAGGTTACATGCGCGACGCAGCGAGAGTGAAAAAGCAGACGTGGTAATTAATATTGCTATTTAAATATGACAGGCTCGTAACTCCTAAGACATGGGAAATACAGTTGCAAATGGGCTTTTTCATTTGAAATTTGGCAGTCACTGTGCGTTCGCGAAAGCGAAAATGCAAACAGTAATGCAGGATTTGCAATTGCATTTGGATTATGTGACAATTTATGCGTCCACATATTGAAAACGCAATTGAAAATACAATTTGCAATTCCTTTTGAAAATTGTCCGGAATGTCGTTCCATAGAATTGAAAATGATTTGGGAATTTAAATTTCACTTAAATTTAAATTATTAGTTGGAATTTAAATGTCACTTAAATTTCAATTAGTTCATTTAAAATATAAATGAGCACACAGAAATTTCTTTTAAATATTCTCCTAAATCTAGCTCAGCTAACTTGGATTTATTCATTCATTCATTCATTCATTCATTCATTCATTTCAATAAATGTAATAGACTTGGTACTGTGGTCCGCATGCAGAATGTTTATGAATTACAGTCAGAATTTGGAATTTAATGTGAACCGAATGTGAATTGAACTGTAGTCTACTCATGCATCTTTTAACCATTTCTCATAAACCTTTTGAATTCAGTTCAATTTAATTCTCACATTCTGCTAAATTATTTTCCAAACTTATTCTCATGCAAATGCAGATCTTTTCCATAGATCTTCAGATTAAAGTCTCTGTGCAGTTGGAATGAGTAACATATGAGGCTGAAATGTTCTTGACTCCAGGACATCAGACCACTGGACTCTGATTTCCTGTTAATGGACAACTGCACCCCTGCCCTGGCTGGTCCGAGCGCATTCCAGATCCCTTACCTCATCCGACAGAAGATCTGCAGCAGTCTGGACACCCCCTGTCCCAATGGAGCAGATTGGAGACTACTGGCCCAGAGACTGAAGCTTGACAGGTAAGATCTCTCAGTGCTAGAAGTTATTATCTCTTAGGTCTGGAATGGATCCTGTTTAACAAAATCTCAGGATTCTTGTTGTGGGTTGTGGAAACTGTTGTTTTGCAGAGTGCTGATATCTAGAGCAGATTGTGCGGTTCTCCACTTGCATATTAAATATAAACTTCCACAGGAAATTACAAGGCGGTGATTTAATTACTGTCCCATTGAACTTCCTCCAGGTAATGGAACATAATGGGCAGACTTCATTTGTCCAATAATGTTTACTTGCTCCAATTAATTACAATTTGAAGTGTTGTGGTGTGTGTTCAATTAGCACACTAGCCCAAAACGATCGATTGTCATTTACCTAGTTAAGAAAAAGCACAGAATCCACACAGGTGGAAATGTGCTTAACGTTTTTTTTTACTGAAAACACTGTCCTCAGAAAATGTTTTAAGACTTGAAAGCAGCACTAATAATGAATACAACCCCGACTGTAAACCATTTCTCACTGAGAACAGAGAGCATGTAGAAAACAACACTTAAAGCCCAAGGCATTTGAGGTACAGAAAAAGGCCGTTAGATCGAACAACCCACTTCAGCTTCCTTCGGGAGATGCATCTCGCAACATCTAATACGCTGCAAAAAGGGGTTGCTTTGTTCTTATTGATCAGCTTTGATCCGAAAGGTTCAGCCTGGTCAATGGAAAAGGTCACATGCAACCTGGGCTTTACGCTTTTAGAGGACTGAGACCCACAGTAGATAATTCATCAAATGAAAATGCAGGGCTGCTTTAGTTCAGGAGTTAACAAAAGGGTGTAAAGCATGTGTTCGGAAGAACTGAGCGTTCGTGCATTGGTTTAGTATATTGGAATGGATAATACTGTTTTATATTCCTCCGTGGAACAACTATGTCCAGCTAATGTGTCTCTCTGGACCAGCATGCATGGATTTTCTACTCTCGCTTTGAATGGAGTGCCAGAGAGGTTGATGTATTGGTTTAAGATAAGCTTCTTGATGTTTTATTTCATTTCAGGGAGTAATAACTTATGACTCTCCTGCAATCCTGATTTACTTCTCACAATGAAACAAACCATGCATTTTGAAACATATTCATTGCATTTCTAATATAGTTTATTTATTGTATCTGGTTATAAAGGAAAAACATAAGGCTATAACTGAGTGAATCTCACTGAAAATGTCCAGATCATATTTCACCTTAAAATTCAAATATTGTGTGTGTGTGTGTGTGTGTGTGTGTGTGTGTGTGTGTGTGTGTGTGGGTG